CACTGTCACCGATCAAGGACATTCAAGTGATTCCGACAGAATGTCTCTAGATTTATGGGACCCAGTGAAGCGGCGTTACCTTCATTTCTTCTTCCTAAACGCTCGACAATTTTCAAGTGAACCTTGAGCCCCTTGAGACAATCCAACAGCACACTTGTTTATAACTTGCACGGCGCTGCCATGCTGTCGTTTGGCACGCCTTTTGATCTTCGTCACAAATTCAGCTGTTTTCACAGCCATAGCCGAACTGTCATGAGAATATTACCCAATCTTCATGACAAAAGTTGGCTCTGCTGAGTGTATCCCTGCTTTACACCGAGCCTTTTGTTCACAGCGCAAAAATTTCTTAGTTCTCAGCACTATTCCTGTCGACTACTCCTCTAGCAAAAGCCCTATGAAGAAAACTTCCCCGAGTCTCGTTTTGAAAGCTCCATACACTCAGTGGCTCACGCTTCCCGTGCTTCGGTACAGTTCGTGTGCTTAATATAAGCAGTGATGGAAAAGTGATGGTCTAACTGATCTGCTTAGATGGTTTCGGTTTGTACTGGCTAAAAAATTACTGCGCTTTAAATTAATAATGTTGCACAGTTATAAGAGATAACCATAAAATGAAGCAGAATTATTGGAAATTCATAAATTTAACAATGGATTCGTATTATACTTTCAAAGAACTTTCCATGGATAATATAAATCGCAAAGGTCATGGGGTTTGGCATAACGAAATTAGTCCACGTATAGAACACTGGTGGCGTTGAATTGATGAGTTAGGGTAATTCTACCGTCATGAAGCAAAACTGTGATTCTCAGAATTCACTGATTTGACAGACTTTTAGTATTGTACTCACTGCGAATAATTCATTAATATGCAGATAAAGAACATATGCTGATGTACACAAACAAACTCTTAAAAATTCAGATGTTTAGCAGAAGTTTCGCATCGTGTTCACGGGGAGCTTCTCACTGACACGTGACCCAATGGTTCGTCGTAACAGTTGATCGAAGTGACCATGGTCAAATCATACAGATTGCATGCTGACAACCACTATCGATTCCGCAATGCTTTGCACTGCTATGCGCTGTCCGCAGCAATCTCGACAAGGAGAGTTTATAGAGAGTGATATGCTTTACTGTTTCAAATATTTACCATCTAGTTAATCTATCAATAAAATCAATCAATGACGTAGTTGTTATAAAATATTCAAAACGCTTTTAGTTTTTACAGAAAGATTGTTAATAAAAAGCTGTAATAATAGGTAGTCTAAAGAAGTTATGAGAATTTTCTCTTCACTGGGTTTTTACGGAAGCATCACTAACCAACTGAAAAAGCCAATATTAAAATGCGTTCACCATAAAATCCTAAATAATATTTGGTAGCCCCTTTAATCTTCGCGCATTTCTATTTGTTCGACCCGCAGAGTTGGGCTGATGACAACCAGAGGTGCAGCCGCTGTTCTTTCATCGTCTTTCCAACACGTAACTAGGAACAAACGCCATCGGTTTTTGAAGCTGATCGGTCAACGGCGCACGACCAGGAAGGAACCATCTTCGCCTAGCATCTGATTGGCCGACTGGCGAATGACCAGAAACAAACTATCCGATTCTGGAGACTGATTGGCCTACTGAGAGTGGTGAACATTGTTTGTATTGAGGATAATGATTATGAAGTACTCTTGATACTTAGAACTTCATCTCTGACTAGAAAGCCGCAGTCCAGCGTCATTAATCCAGTGTGGTTTACGTGTTATTCTCAACACATCTCTCTATGCTGCGTCGCAGGTCTACGGTTTGTGAATAGCTTTCGCGTTTGGAATAAACGTTACGCATCCGCAGGTTACCACCGTAAGGACACCCTGATCGGAAATTTTCCATTTCAGGCAAAATGGTAGTTTCAGGATGGGAACGCTTGCAGTCTTCTAAAATTGCTCCATGCCATTTTCAAGTTTTACTGCTTTCAGAGAATCTGTTCACTTCTCTGTTATAGAGAGCTTTTAGTCTGGGTAGGCGTAAATTTGCATTTGAGGACCTCAGTTTCAACAGGCCGTTAATTAAATCATGTACAGGTTCATTTTTGAGTTGATCTTGATGCTTTCTTAATTTAGATCTTCTGCATATGATGTGAGGATCAAAATAAGGTCAGCAGTATGTATTTGGTTGGCGTAGAGTCCATTCATTCGTCTTCAGCTTCTGGTTTTCCTTGTCGCTCCAGATGTGCCGTAAATAAGTTTGCTGCCATTGCGTGTAGACATTTATCCGCATTAATGCATATAGGACAACGTCAGATCGGCAGACCATGGAGTTCGCTCTGCCGTGATCAACTAATCGTACCAACATCTGAGGCCATACCTCAATTCTCCTGCCGACTCCAATGAATCACAGCGATATTTTCCACGTAGCTCGCTGAATGGTTCTTAAAAACGCCTGATGACTACAAATGCACGATAACTCTGGATAAGATTAATGTCTACCTATTTTCGACAGCTTCAGATGCGTAGGCGCCGCAGGAAATCTCCACGTGTTTTTCATATCGTCTTAACGCCATAAATGAATTCAAATGCATTACGCGATTCCGCTTCAGTGAACAACTGAAAATCCGAATGCGATTTTCTCGGTTTTCCGAAGTCATGTGAAAACCGGCCCTTATATGATGGCATTAACTATCGCAGATAAGAGCATAATATACGCAACTGCCCCAAGGCGACTGACAATATTGATGTATGCCACAAATTGGCTACCGTAATTGTAAAATCCTCTTAAAAGAAATAATTTCTGAGGTTCATACTCGTGCTACCAATCGTGCAACCAGAAGGCCTATCACTTTTAAAGGATTCGACCCAAAATTGATCAGCTGATCGGTTATTGATAACTTGGAACATTTGAACTGGCTGTAACCTGCCGCGACAAGCTCGTCGTTCCTCACGGTTTAAACAGTTCTCCCTCAAAGCGCGACCTCGATGCCCTCCAAACTCGGCTCACGATGCAAAGCCCCACCCACAGCCGTGGTGGGAGACCAAGCAACCCAGTCCGCCCGATCATTGCCGACCATCTCCCGTCGGTGAGCCAAGCAACATGCCCAACCCACCGTAGCTTCTCCTGTCTGCTTTGGGCGACGACAACATCCTCTACTTAGTCCGTATTATTTCATCACCGTTCTTGATACATGGTTACAGATCCAACCTGAAACAGGTACGGTAGAATTTTTATCACTCGTTTTGCCTCGCTCTCAACACCTACCGTATCATCAACTGGATATCGTTGTAAGCAACGAAACGCGTTAACTCTAAGAACCCTTCTTTTCATGTTCGTTCTGCACTGGCGTATCTTAGCCATGTTTCAGAAAAACTAGTAAAATAATTGCAAAAATATGTAATGAATCACAGATCTATGTACAAATTGAAATCATGGCCAATGTCAACTGAAAGTCTGGTAGGATAGCTAAATTTCAAAGCCATTCAACATAATGAAAATGTGTAAGTTATTACTGTTGTTACGGCTGTCACCATCACTGTTTTTAACCGGCTCAAATGACACGCCGGATTGCTGCTTATTCGCCACCAAGTTTGGCCAGTTACGCTTCTCCCGCTTCTATCCATAGGCTGTCAACACAGAGAGAGGACTGCAACGTCAGTCGTGACAGTTTTCGACCAAGTCTTAACTTATCCCTCACATTTTTGTGCCATCCAGCGATCAGGGTGGCGTTCAGCATAACTGAGGTGATGTTTTCTGGTGGACGTCTCATCACGCGCTCTAGCCAAAGCAGTCGCCATTTTTGGAGCAGTACAAAGCCGGATCATGTTGTAACGGCCACGGGTAGAGGCGTTGGACAAATTGCATCCGCCACATAATTGGTAAACATCAGTTGTCAAAGGATTCAAATTTTCTATTGTCCTCGACTTTTAAGGACCAGTTATTACATCCTTGGAAGAGGAGTTATCCACAGCTGGAAGAAAGCTCTCCTTGCTGTCGATTAAACATGGAAATTGGAAAGCCAGGTCTTCAAAATCGCAGTGACCATGTTTTGTGGGCAAATGTAAGGGAGACTGCTTGAGTAATATGAAGTTTTTCTTTGGCAACAGTTCGTATTGTATCTTTCTGACAAGAAGTTTGGCTCTTCTTCGCTATACATGGACTTTTAAAATGTTTTTGTTCTAAATTTAACATCGCAAACGAAGTGGGTCCTCTACATTACTCAAAAGTAGGCATCAATAGAGGTACAAGTGCAATTATTTTGTGTTTTTTCAGCAATTTCGAATTTGTGCATCATGGCACTGAAGCCAATACGTCAGAGCTTGAAACACAGGCAGTTTCATCTATGATTGGAAAAGTCACTCAGTTCCTGCTGCTAGAAACTTATTCCAGAACAGCACAATCACTACGCAACTGCCCGAGGAAGACCATTTCCTCGTATTGTAGCGTTGGTGGGTGCAGTGGTTTTACCGTCACAATAAGCCACTGACCGGTGCGGTTTGTGGTAGCGTGTAGTACCTATTCAAACTGAATCGGCTTCCAGCTTCGTAAAAGAATTTTGCCCCCCCCCTGTGTTGGTAGCCTGACTCGTCAATAGCATCGCTGAACCTGTCGCAGAGCACACTTTGCCATCGTCGCGGTTAGGCAAGCCACGACTTCCGCTGAGTCTCACTGAGGAGTTGAAGTTAGATATTACAACGGCAGGGTGACAAGGCAGACACGATACAAAGTGGGACGAACAGGGTCGAAACATCAGGAGTAACGTAGAGAACAAGCAAGCAGCGAGTAACTGGCTGGCTGAGGTCAAAGAAAAACAAAACGGCCAGAAACTCTTACCTCACCATAAAACTACGAAGCAATTTCACGTTCAGTGAAAAAGACCTTCGATTGTTATCAGTAAAGGAGAACAACCGGTAAAAAATACTGAAAGGGAGTAGAACGAGAGGAAACTGATAGCCAAAACGCACGCTTGAAGCAATTGAATAAGGAGCCTTTTATCGCCTCCGTCTCCTACCTGAAATCGTGATGAAACGTGCATGGTGGTTCGAGAAAGAAAACAGGAAGTGACAACGGCAGTGGCGACCAAAACCTGTGTCCAGCAAGTGAACGGCACTACAGAGGTGACGACGACGACGAGGTGCGACTACGAGCGAGTCACACTGCCTCGGTCGGTGCACGGCCCACAGCACGTCGCGACTGAGCTTGTAATTGCGGTCGGTCGATCCACGAAATGGTTTGTTTATAATTTGCCCATGAACAAAACCGGTCATCGTCACAGCATGCGTAGCGACCGGTGTTGAACACTGGGTAAACATGAGGTGTGGCGCGGGTATGGGGTTCACCAATGGCCGCGACTCCGCTGAACAGACCTTATAAAACGGATCAAATCTTGTCGCACCCCTACCGACATATTTATGCAAGTCGAATGGTCCCTCTGTCCCTGAGCTAGTGCCTTCATGTCTACTGCTTACTGATCCATGGTGCACGTGTCCATCACCGTAATTATGATCATTAGGTTGCTAATTGCTTAATAAACTGTCATGTGAAACAGGGACATGTAATAAACCGGATTGGTCACAGATTTAATATTGCCTCACTCCATTAGTTTCACTAACTGATTGAACAAACATGATAACCTTTTTTGAACCTTGAAATGATGAACTATCGAGACGGTGCTGAAAAGGGCAAACTTACCTCATCAATCTACAAAAGTGTTATCTGTCCAAAATTCAATAAAATAGAGCTTCTCCGTTCTTATTATTGGGAACGTCATTAGGAGCGGTAGCTTTGTAGTTGAGCAGCTAGTGAGAACTATACTTTCTATTCGTCTGTTAAGCCCTTATAATTACCTAAGGCGGTCAACTCTTGACACTGACCGAAAAATACAAAACTGAATATAAACTGCACAAATAAAATGTCTTCGAATCATTCCAGGTGCAGAAAAATTTGAGATCATTCTCAGATGCACTTGCATGTGAGATGTTCCATCTTCAAATCGAAAGACCATCACTGCTGTAATTCATATATGTAAAAAGATGTAAACAGTGAAACTCGCCACAGACTTTTTGCCGAAGCAATTGCGAATAAGGCAGCCAAAAGGAACATCGATTATGAGGCGAATCGATCATTCTGAGTACCTGATATAGTTATGCCTCAGAATGCAGAGCACCAAATTTGCTTATTTGTCGAATGAGATCGATGGTTAGAGAAACCCGCTCAGGATATCACCAGTTGAAACCAACTTCGACTTCTGAGGACTCATCATTGATGAGGGAAGAAGATAATGCAAAAAGTAAGGAAGAATAGAAACGTAGATGAAAGGGGAGAAGGAGAGAGAGATGGAAGTAACAACGATGTAAAAAGTAAAGAAGGAATGAAGGAAAGAGGGAAAGAACGAACGACGGAAGAAATAAACAGAGGATGGACGAAAGGAGCGGACCAACGGACGAACGAACAAGGGAGCTAATGAACAAATGAAACAGGGAGTGAATGAATTTATGAATGAATCAGTATACTCATGCATTAAAGATTGAATGATTGAGTGAAAAAGTATGAATCAGTGAATCAATGGATAGAAGAGGAGATTTGCCTAACATGTATTACCCAATTGACTATCAGTTTTCTCAGAAGGAAAATAATCTTTCGAAAAAAGGATCACAATTAATCATAACGAACTGTTCTTGAGTTCGCGAAGTTAACAACTGAAGTCAGAACTTACCGAGTGGCTTCAAAATCCAGTTCGTCATATCATACAGCATAGCCGCATGAACATTAGAAAAATATTTCAAATTTAGGCGTTAGTCAAGACACAATACAAAATGTAAACATTTCACCATGCCCTCTGAGAAAAAACAAGAAACTTTAATAAGACAGACAGTAAAACAAGACGTGAATGGCATCAAACACCATTGGCATTCAGAACCAACTGTGCACTGTATGGCAATTTAAGACTTAAATATTATTTGATTGCTGATGGTTCAGAAGAGCAGATGCGTCCCATGCGAGATATTCATTCAAATAATATTTAATACACGGCGGTATCCACCCGTTGTTATTTTCTACCGTACGTCTGATGAACCTGTGCTGCTGAAGAGAGTTTTCTGACCTCTATACCTGACTTTCGCGACAAAACACTATCCAAATATTTAATGAGACATAGCGCTTACTCATCGCTTTGAGTTTAAAATTAAACACATGTTCTGCAAGACATTAATAGCAAAAATGCAATCCATAGAATGAAGAGGAGACAATTTATATCAAATTGAATTTGAACGTCTTTCAAATGACGTCTTCCCATTATTAAGCATACAAGGAAAGGACGTCTCTGCTGATAGGCCTGAACTGGGCAAGTTATCCTTTACTCCTCTGGATCGTTTTAAGTGCAGGATTTAAAGCGTGTGCACTGCCAGACTTCGCTGATAAATTTATGACACTGAGTACAGCTTCTGTCAAATCATGGTTTTCAGAGCTACTTCCCTCTGTACGACCTAAATGTGAAGTGGCATGACACGAATAGGGTAGGCTGTAGTGAGACTCTTTGAAGTCAGTGTCTGCTGTAGACATCATCACCTCCTATGAATGTATAAGCCGTCAGTTATCGGGATTATAAGTTCAAGTGGTACTTAGAAGATAACCTTCAGACAAAATTCACAAAAGAGATCTTCAGGTTGTGTAATGGGATCGAAGGACCAAGCCGACTTCATTCATCAGAAGGAAGTGGTACTTGCAGCATAATTATTAAACGACAAATTACAAAATAACTGGACAGAAATTAAACGCTGATTAAAAATTCGTAATCGCCTCCTCAATAATCAACAGACACTAGGCCTCGCTAACTAAGAAACCGACTGAGTGATTAATTTACTTTCTTGTACCCATGTTTACTCCATTGTGTAGGTCTTCAGTTATAATTATGTCACGCTGTTTAGCTGGCCGATGAATAATCAAAAAATGAACTGTTGGATAATCTTTAGAGAAAAATGTGTTTTTTGATAAGGTTGCCGTCAACAGCGATAACGTTTAATTGAAGATTCAATTAGTTGTATTGTTTACTTATATACATGCATACATATTTGTACATTGTTAATTTGCCTACATAAGTGTTTAAAGCATAAAATTATCCATAAGTTTATAAATAAACACATGTAACATATATGTGTATATACCCATGCAACATGCATACATCAGTGCGCACATTCCTACATACAAACATACGTCAGTATTATTCTGTTAGATAGTCATTTTTGATGCTTGATTATTTTATTGAGTAGTCCTATGCACTGCAGGTGATTAAATATCATGGAGCCGTGGCCTGCTTAATAGGCCCTTTAGGACTCTAGAAGCAAGGAGCGGTGCAATCAGAGGCTAATGTAAAAAGAAAAATTGATTTTTTTCTATACGATGTGCATTCGCCGTTGGATCCGGTATCATTATTATTTTTACCAGCTACCATTTTATTTACTTGTTTAGTTACTTTCTTATTTATTACTTTCCCTACTTCGTAGACCTAGAA